ATAGCTAAATATTGGAAGTAGTTCAAACCCTCACCAATGAATGAATGGATAAAGAAGATATCGTTTTCTTATAGGATTCAGTACTACTCTACTATAAAGGATACTCCTGAGACATTTCTAGGTAAATAAATGCACCTTAAGACCCTAAGGATAAAAAAGGACCAAAATGTAAAAGAGATATTGAGAAACAAGAAAAAGTATTCAAATGGGAAGGAGAAAAGAGAGAGTGGTTGGGGGAAGGAAGGAAGGAAGGGAAAAGAGAAAAAAAAGACTACATGCAATATAGTGGAAACAAAAGCTTAGAATATAAGTAAGGGAAGAGGAGCTGAAGGAAGAGGAGGGGTTTGGGGGAAAGAGACTGAAAATACATATTATGTATGGCTAAAAATTTCCATATCATAAATGGTATCATTATATCTAAAATGTACTTATACAATTAATTTTTTAAATAAAATAAATAAATTTAAACATATGCTGAAGGCCACCAGAGAGATCTGGAAGGATAGCCCCAGAAGTTTGGATAATTGTACTGTCAATTTCTGCTGGTCTTTTGAAAAGAGCAATTAATGCTTAATTTTTTTTTACTCTGATTTTTTCCTCTTTTGAATTTCTTATAACTTCCTTGTTACTGTTTTTTTTCTTTAAACAAATCTTACACATTTATATCTGGCAATCTGAACAACTAATTTAAAGATAGCATCATGTAATACAGCAACCATTGTTGAATTCCTATTACTTTGTTTAGTGAAATCTAGTATCATTTCTAATGTTTATTTCTATCACTATTTTGTATTCTTTAAAAATAAAAATGTTTTTATTGTTAAATAGCTATTTTATTTTAAATAAACATACTATAGTTATACATTAAAAATAAAACACAAAGCATTCAGGTTCTGAGGTTCTTCTAGCTTAGTGGAGGGCTCTACATTGAGTCTTGGGTTAGGAAGCCTGCCCTGTTACTGATGGAGGTGGAACATGCTACAAAGGAAATGGGGAAATTAGCACAAAAGGGAAATTATTTTCTCCATTAAAAATCTCTCTCTCAATCATCACATTTGTCAAGAGAGATTTTGATAAGCACAAGACCACAGATTATCACTGCTGAAATTCTCTCACAAGTGCTTGAAGTGCCATTTCTACTACTTTTGATTTTCAAAGGGCACACTTGTGTTTCACACTAGTAACCTGAGAGACAAAGTGAAATTTGTTATCAATGCCACTTTTCATCCAAGGAGAGGCCCCACATGCAGAAGAACTAGGAGGGCTAGCAGGTAGGGGTAATATTCTCCTGCAAAGGGGCCTAAAAGCTTCACCAACAATTCAGCAGAAATGGTCTGCCTGTGTAACACAGTGACTCAAAATAAAAATCACAGACAGCCCTACATTTACATTTCTGCACACTCACATGCATCCTCATATTCACACTCATCCTACTTGTGTTCACATACATACCTAAGTGTCTCTGTGCACCCACCGTCATCATGTAAGTACTTATCACTGCTGTGTGACGTTGACTTCTGATCTTCTATTGAGCACATCTAACACAACAAAACATGAGCCACTGCTATGTGAGCAGTTGCAGCCTAGCCAGGCAGCCTTCCTTGGTTGCTCAGCTATCCTTGCTGCACTGAGCCCTTGCTCTGTACCACCCTGCAAGCGTATGCATAAAGATCCCTCTCACAAAACGTGAATCAGACTCTCTTTGGAGTCATTCTAGGAGGTCTCACAAAATTAATGCTGGGCGTGTTCTTTTACCACCATTTACTCGAAAATCATGTATCTCAATCAAGTCCTTCTTGTTGAAAATAAGTACAACCTTCTGTTTTTCCTTAGTACATTATTACCTCCAATCCTGCTAAATTTTTCTTGACAAAGCAACCAGACTAATCTTTTAAAGAGGTAAGTTATCACAGCAACTCTAGGGCTGGATCTCCTTCCTGCCCTCTTAATACTGTTAGAAGGAACTCCAAAGTCTTTATATGGCCCACATGATCTGGGCTGGGTTATCTCTTTCGATGTGCTTCTCATTTCTCTCTTCCTTATGACTTTCTTGACCTAATATAGATGGAGTGCACTCTGCTGCTGGCCTTTGCCTATACTGCTACCTTTCTGTACTACTTTTATCGGCCTCCATGTCACTTTGGCTGGGACTCTCACATTTCACATTTTAATCCAGATCTCTTATTATGTTTCTAGTCATATGACAAAACTGTTGAAAAATCACTAATTAAAAAATAAGGGGGTTGGGGAGATGGCTCAGTAGAATAAGCGCTTCCCTGGCAAGCGCAAGGGCCTGAGTTCAATCCCCGGTTCCACGAAAAAATAAATAAATAACACTGAACTCTATATTTTATTCTATACTCAGTTTCGCAAAGAATTTTTTCAATGAAATGTTGGTTATTAATGAGTGTTAATGAATATATTTCAAAACTAGCAATGGTGACTTTAACCATAAAATCATAGTTCTCTGTTGTCAATGATAAAGCAGTACCTTCCAAACTGCTATTGACAGTTTATACTAAGGATTATTGAGTTTCAAGTTAGAGTGACCTGGGTAACTTTCCATAAGTTAATGAATCTGTAAATTGTCAATAAGAAAGTTTCTCTATACAAGGAGGTATTTTGCATTAATGTGAAGATAGCTCTATCTGTGAAATAATTTATTATACTTTGGGAAGATGACATGTCAGAGTAGAATTTAAATCTCTGTTGTCTCAGTTTACAGTTCTATATGCATTTTAACAAACAACTTCCCTTTTTTATGTTTCCTTTTGGCTGATAGTAAAATTATTATCAAATAGGTACGTTTTAAACAATAGGGGGCATGTGGGTTATAAGGGGTTCTCAGGTTAGCTCAGTTTTTTAAGTGCCTGCCTCAACAAACCTAGTCAGGTGCAAGGGACTGTGTGTTTTTTGTTTTGTTTTGGTTTGGTATGGTTTTTTCTATTTCTTTTTTTTCCCATAATTTTATCGAGAAACAAATAGCAATGAGACAGTTTCAAATCAAATTGGTAGGACAGTTTCAATAATTAACACATTGCATACTGTCTTCCTAGTGGTTGTTATACAAGATACAGACCTGATATCCTATTTACAAACACTATTAGAACAAATCCCTCTATTCAGTGAATTAAGAGAATGTAGCTATATATCTGTCCTAACCATTTTGAATACACAGATACAAAATGGTCATTCATCTGTATCCCCTTTTCTTGTTTAGTTCCATCATTTAAATATTATAAGTGTGTGAACTCAGCAAAATAGTCCAGTAGTCCATAATAGTACTGGGTCTTCTGCCTGACTGGCAATGTCAGAAGTTGTTGACCTGAATCTCCTACAGCTCAACATAACAACATGGCTTTACCTCTTATACTTTATTTTTATACTTTTCTGCTGGACGGTTAAGACCAAGATAAAGCAAGACCTATGTAACAAGAATTGTAGCTTTTGTATCTGATAAGGTCAGTCAAATCCCCTCAGGATTTATCCTGACTTCTCTTCACAAAAACCATGAAGGCAAGAAGAGCATGAAACAGAGTACTTCAAGTCCTCTATGAAAATAAATTCCAGCCCAGACTACTACATCCTGGAAAACTCTCTTTCAAGTTTGATGGAGAAGTGAAATATTTCCATGACAAAGAACAACTAAAGA